ACGGGACCTTTGGGAGGTGGCCGCTCCACACGTGAAGTCCCTTTTTCCCACTCTCACAAGCCAAAGGTGTCAAGTGGAGCTGGAAAAGGGCAGCTTTGCCCCGCTGTCACTCGTCTCTGTGGGGCCTCATGTGGGTACGAGGAGGTGCACAGGGAGGCGCGCGTGGCAAGAGGAGGCGTGGCGGCATAGAGAATGAAGCTGTGCCGTTGTGGGGTCGCTGAGGACGGCCAGACGCGAGGACGGAGCTCCTCGGAATCGAGCGGCTAGGGAGAGGATGTGGAGAGAAAAAAGAATGAAGGAGATGGAGAAGAAAAAATAAATAAAAAAGAGAGGGACAGTATGGTCATTTCATCTTATTTATCTACCATGAGAAGCTGTTTTATCAAACACTTCAACAAATTAAAACAACTACAACTTCATAAGTGGAGCTGTTTGAGCCAAAGCCTGAAAAACTGCTCCACAAGTGGAACAGAGCTGTATCAAACGGGCCCTGAGATGCAGTATGACGGTCAGTGTTGAGTGCCGCTCTTCACCACAGTGTCCCAGAGACCAAGATCGCTAGATCAGTCACAAGGATGGGTCGGGTAAGGTTATTAGCCGCTGCTGTTGTGTTCAGTGAACCAGCGTATGGATGACAACTCGGCATTCATTCATGCATGCGACGAACAGGCACCAATGCAAGCTTCAGTACAATGGGAAACTCACCTGAAACTTCCATCATGTTGGAATCCAAGGGCTGCAAGTGCAACTGCAAAGAAATGCCACTGCATGCGCCGGTGCTGTAGGCTGCAGCAGCATCGCAGGCAGCACTTATTTCAACATATTCATATAGGACCATCCAAAAATCCAAATCCACACATTCAGTTGATTTGATACTATATGCATGTATGTGGTAGACTAGCTAGATCCAAACAAACATCCTGGCCGATACCATACAAATTAAGAAGATTCCTACTTGAATCCTTGATTCCATCTCTTGAGCCTTACAAGATTCCTCTTCAGCCACATTGAACGACGTCAGGCATTAGCATCGTACACGAAGAGGATCGGAAGCACCAAATTACCGCCAAGTGAATCGATACAAGCACAGTATTATACAACAAGATACATACATATATGGCGCACAACACCGTGCAACGCTGATGTAGACTGAAGACTACCCTAGCACCAGTAACCACCACACTATGCCATACCCAGCCAGTAACAACATACCATGCATCTCGCCATGTTCTCTATAAAAAGATGCCACAACGAGCGTCCAGCGTCCTGTTCGTTTTGGCTTATTTGGCTTATAAGCCGTACTTTTTCAGCCAACGAACAATATTTTTCTCTCACACCAAATCAACCAACAATACTTTCAGCCATAACTTATCAGCTAAATAAACCCAAACGAACAGGGCAGGCAAGATCGATCACGAATGTCTAAAAGCCACTGCACCTACTAGAGGCTTAAAGGCGACACAGCGCCAGCAGAGAGCGGCCGCCATGGCGCTTCTTTGCTCACCTCGTCAAGCAAGCTCCTGTTCCACCCTTATAACTCTAGCAGCAAGAGCGCAAGACCAGTCGTAGCACTCACACACTAACCAAAATCCACACGAGAGGGCTGGCTTCCGGCAAAACAAGCTAAGCTGCCTCGACACAAGTACAACACAAACCATATAAAAACGCTAGCTGTAGACCTGTTGTCCGGCCGTCGTCCCTGGCCGTGCAGACTTAGCGTGCTACTCCGACGAGAAGAGCAGCTAGCAGGCAGTTTCTTCTCTATCCGCCGGCGCCGCCACGACGGCAGCAGCTAGCTAGCTAGCTAGTTAGCCGAGGTATGTAATAACTGTTCCATTATATTCCTGGCCGACCGCCGGCGGCACCGTGCTCGCGCGTGCAGATCCAGTAGCAGCGCCGGCGCCGGTAGCGACGGTGACCCAGCCGGCCGGCTTTGATTCGTTTCTTCTCTGTTCTTTTTCAGTTCTTTCGCTTTGTGGTTCGCTTTTACGTATCAGGGATTCTTGCTTGACCCAGAGGATTAGGCATCCATTGCTGATGCCTGATAGGTTCCTTCTTTAGACGCCGCCGCAAATCCAATCGCGAAGCGACATGTACTGGGATCAGCTTGGCATTTCCGACTATTTTGCACAGTAAAAGTACACACAGACTTGTGTTTTCATAATACTCTTTGACTGGGAGTTGTTCGTATTTGAAAATAGCAAACCGTGTTCATATGTTACAGGATATATATGATTTTGACGGGTTTTGTTTTAGGATCATTTTGAGGGTTGTTAGGTGGGGTGGGACTGACTTTTCGCAGACCCGCTGGCCAGATTTGGTCCAAAAGTGTAGCCGGGCCAACAGGAAGACACTCGGGCTAAGCTCTGTGGGCTAGAGTTGGGCCGAGTTTGTTTTGATTAGCCTACTGCTTCAACAGTGTCCAACAGAAAACTCCACGATTTCTTTTAGATTAGATTGTGAACGTTACTCAAAATGTTCTGATTAGTGGAAGTCTATTCATATGTTCAGTAATAAAAACAGTAAATAAATATCCTAGTATTAACAAACGTTTGAGTAACCTTCAACGACAAAAAGAAAAACAAAGCCCACGATTTTGTTTAGATTAATTAAGAGAAACTCCACAGATTAGTGAAAGATTAAGTGTTCCTATGTTCCTTAAAAATGGTAAATAAATATCCTACTACGTATTCGTTAATTAATCAACGTTTGAGTAACTTTCAATGAGCAAAAAGTTGCAGCTACGCTGGTTTGTAACACAAATAATCAGAACATTTAAAAACAACTCAAGCCATCCTCCAGATTTTTCTTTGGGAAAAAATATTTTTAGTAAATTATTCTGCTCTGTGATAGTATTTTGTAAGCTTCAAAATTCGCGCTTGCATAAAAAAAAAAAACTCCATCACGCGCTATCTTTGAGCCTTTGACAGTCAAGGACTCAAGGTGAGTCTTTCTATGCACTACTCTTCGATTAAAGTATTCACTTGTGTAAAGTTTTCTCGCTGGCCGCCGGTTCTCTGCGTCTCCTCGTCGAAGCACGATGAACGCTGGTATGCTATGGTTGATTGCCCAGGTAGTTTGCAGGGCAAGTACATGTTATTCAGTCTGTAGTACATCTGAAACCCAGTATTTTATTTGCAAATATACTATATATTATGTCTACTTCATTTTCTTAAGCGGGAGGAACCTGGGGGCACGTGCAGCCTGCACTGTTTTGGGCTTTGTTTTTTTAATATATATAGTGTAGAAAGAGTTATGACTCCAACTTTTTTACGAGGGGCATAAATTAGATTTAGACCAAAACCATTGCAGAGTTTTAGTAAAAATGTCACAAACAAATGGAGAAAGCATGGAAAATAAAATACGATCAGTTTTAAATTATGGCCCAATCCTAAATATAAAGTTGTCTATAGGAAGATAAAATATGCGTAACCGTCGACTCCATAGTGGCCTAGATGGAGTTGATGTTTTTTAAATAAATAAATAAATACATAAATAAAATAAAATAAAAAATATCCAAGGCTGTTTCTTTAGTTGAAACTTATTGTTTATATATATATAAATTACCAGCTTAAAAGGAAGCAATATCATCACTTGGACGACAAAAAAATTAGACAAGTGAACTTATAAATGCATTTTTTGTTTACTCCATTGGCCACTCAACTTAAAAGGAAGCAATATCATCATCACTTGCATGATTACTCAGACCCGTTAGAGGTCATTGTCGTCCAATCTATTTTCTTAATCCAATCAGTAGCTCTCTTATCAATTACAAAAAAGAAAACTTAAAACAGCATAACGACAACCGGAAAAGCACCGTTTGCATAGGTTAGCCACATGATGCAATCAGATATGAAAAGAAAAAGGGTAACTGTTTCTTTTTCTTTCTTTCTTTTTAAAAAATGGGGACTATCAGCCTAGCAAATGATAAACACCCTATTCGCTTGATCATATCAGCCATGATACAGTGTTTTTCTCTCACAACAAAACACAAAACAACGTCGGCCGCACAATCAAGCGAACGTGGTGAAATACATGCATGGCTTTTATATTTATATCACCATCAAGCCAAGCCATGCAAGAGGCGTGACATGCAGCCTCCGCTGCCCGTCCGCCCACGCCACACACGAGTCACGACAGCAACGTCCGTTCCACACCGCTGCCGCACCATGCGTGAGCGCGTGAGAGTCAACAACTACTCCACGCTACGGCGATCCCCGCGCTAGTGGTTCGGTTGCCACTGGCGCACGCGGGTCGGGCTCGTGCGCGAACAGGGAGGAGGCCGGGGCAGTGAGGTCACCCACGAGACCGCGACTGGACTCAAGCGTCTCCCACCAAAAGTCTAGTCGCCACCCTTCCCTCCCAAGCCCCAGCGCCAGCGGCGTGGTTCCTGTGCGGTCGGGCCGGCGGGCCCCGTCTCCCTCGCCGGGCTTCCTTTCTCCGTTTCTCGTCTCGTCTCTCTCCCGGCGCCCGCGCCCGCCGAAACTCGAAAGGAAACCGATCCGTCACCCAAACCTCGCCCGCCGCGACGTCGAGCGCGTTTAAAGCGCAGCAGCAGCAAAAGGAAAAGAGGAAGCGAGCGAGCGAGGATCCGGGAGCGTGAAGCGCGAAAAAAGCAGGGGAACGAGCGAGGAAGCAACGCGGAAACGGGAAAGCGAGCGAGACAAGCGCCCGATTTGGTCCCCCGCCCGCTTCGTTTCCTCCGCCGCACGCCTTCTCCGGTTCTCCCCCACTACCCCACCTCCCCCTCCCGTCCCCTCGCCTTCCCGCCACGCGACCCGCTGCGTCGCCGGAGCGCTGTAGCTGTCACTGGGCGCGCCCGCCCGCCCGGCCGCCCCGAGGTGGCTGTCGTACCACCGCCCGCTCGCCGCGCGCGGGCGCTCCCGCTCGTTAGTGGGGTTCTCGGAATTCGAGGTTTGCTGACTGATGTGCTTGTGCGGAATGTGGCTGCAGATCGGGGAGGGGTGCGGTGTCATCTCTCCTGAGCAAGCGGCGCGGCGATGGCCGGGCGGCAGGCGCTCGAGGCGTCGCCCGGGCGGTACCAGCGCCGCCGCGACGAGATCGACGACGACGACTGCGCCGACGTGCTCGGCATCGACGTGCGTGGTCCCGACGCTGACCCGTTCGACATCCCCGCCAAGCGCGCCCCCGTCGAGCGGCTCCGGCGCTGGAGGGTGAGTACCTCACCCCCATTCCCGGCCACTATTTTGAATTTGCTGTGCTGTGCCCTCTGCCTTCTGATACGCTGACTTGAGTGCCTGCTTTGTTGTAGTTGTAGCCGCTTTCTGTAATTCTTGGTAATGTGGTTTAGTTTTGTCCGCATTACTAAATATAAGTGTTGGTCTGATGCGGAATTTTGGCTATTATTAGAATTAGATTAGAATTATTAATGTATGTGTTGATGTCTGATTTAGCGAAGCATACATTGAGGTATTTAGTTTAGGAAATTATTGTTAGTACCACTGAATGTTGTAAACCTTGACTGCTCATTCCAATTCACTTCATCACCCAACCCAAATCTTATTTTGTGATTACGCAGAAGAAAATTTAGTGAGATGAACTAGCACTGGTAAGTCTAAAATTTGGCTTTCTTTGGGTATTGCCGGATGCCACACTGTTGCTTTTGTTTCCTAATGAGATACTTAAAATTCACAGCCCTCATAGCATCCCAATGCCTCCTTAGCCCTTTAGTCCAAGTGCATGTGTTGTGAACTAATAGCAAGGATTATTAAGTCATAATTTGGTATTTGTATATTGGATTAATGTCAGTAGTTAGCCTAGTGTTCATGTTTTCCAGTTACCTACTATAGCTATTTACTATTCACTGTCATGTAATTTTTCAGGTTCCTTGGCAACCAAGTTGATCATGGTGCCTTGGCAACCAAGTAGGAATCATAGCATCTGCTTTATGCAGTTAGAATATGCTAAGGAGTAGGTACACCACTTGCTTATATATGCAGTGGTTAGCATCTTTTTGTATCTAAGTTGTTATTGCAATTCAATACAATCCAAGCGGCTGCATTGGCCAAAAGCCGCCCTCTGGCGACCCCCATTCTACTTGTGCCGAATTACTTGTGATCCGGTGATTCACGCCAACAATTGGTACCGAGCTCGAGTTGAGAGAAAGGAGAGGCACACTCCGCAGAGAGAGAAGAAAGAAGCGGCCGCCGCCGAAAGCGGCGTCTGCGCAGCTGTCGTCGCTGCAGGCAGAGGCCGACAAGCCAGCGCCTTGAAGCAGCCGCGGAGGCAAGAGCAGCTCGGAACGCGGCCGCCGCCAGCCATGGCTCTGCGTCGAGAGTTAGTGGAGGAGGATCCGCGCGCGATGATCGCCGCTTCCGGAGGAGGAGCCGGAGCGCGAGCGCAGCGACGCGGTCGCCCGATCGGGATCAGGATCGCCGCCGCGGACGGGCCAGGGGCCGCTCGCCGGTGATCCAGACCGTATACAAGGATTCTGGCTCGAGCTCCACCTGGCCGATGCTCACCAAGTCAAATTACCATGAGTGGGCCTCGATCATGAAGCTGAAGCTCCAGGCGCGGCAACTCTGGGACGCGATCGAGTACCAGGACCTGCCGTACCATGAGGACAGGCGCACGGTGGAGGCGATCATCGCCGCCGTGCCGCAGGAGATGCAGATGCCGCTGTCCGAGAAGGGATCGGCCAAGGAGGCCTGGGACTCCATCACCGCCGCGCGGATCGGCGTCGATCGGGTGCGCCGCGCCACGCTCCAGCGACTCCGCAGCGACTGGGAGAAGCTCGCCTTCCGTCCGGGTGAGCAGATCGTGGACTTCACCCTTCGCTTGATGGCCCTGAAGCAGCAGCTTCTTCTCCACGGCGACAACGACATCGATGAAGAGCGCGCGGTGGAGAGGCTCCTGCGCGCCGTGCCGCCGAAGTACGCCCAGCTCCGGATCGCCATCGAGACGCTTCTCGACTTCCAGGACCTCACCATCGAGGAGGTGTCTGGGCGTTTGAAGACGGTGGACGACATGGAGGCGCTGGCCGCGGAACCGGCCGCCATCGGCGGTCTGCTGCTAACAAGGGAGCAGTGGCGTGCCAAGGAGAAGGGGGCTGCCGCTTCCGCGTCAGGCAAGGAACCGCGACGTCGTCCGCTTGGCGGCAAGAAGCATGGGAAGGGCAATCGCGGCGGAGGAGAGAGAGGCGGTGGCGGCGACGATCGCGGGCGGACGACGACACCGCTCAACTGTGGTGATCGCGCCACTGGCGCGCGCTGCCGCCGCCGCCGCCGCTGTGTGGTGGTGGTGACACGCGGCGGCGGCGGTGGCAACTAACGCGGAGGAGGCAACCGCGTTGGAGGTGATCGAGGTGCACGGCGCGGTGGTGGGCGTGGCGGTCTTTGCGCGACGCCGCAGAGGCGGAGGGCGATGATGGTGCTCTGTTCTCGCCCACGGCTTCTCGAGCTCGACGAGAAAGTCTGGCCGTCTGCTCCAAGGCCACGACTTCCCTCGACATCAACGCGCAGCAGCGTGTCTTCCTCAACACCAGCGCCAACGAGGAGGCGCTCGACGGCTGGTACCTCGACAACGAGGCCACGCATCACATGACCGGCAGCGGGAGCTCTTGGCCGAAGCTCGACACCACGGCCTTGGCTGCAGACGGTGCGTTTCGGCGACTTCGTCTCGAGTGGAGATCAAGGGACCGGCTCCATCGTCTTCGAGCCAAGAACGGGAGCGGCGCATCCTCCATGGCGTCTTCTACATTCGGGCATTCGGAACTCGATTATGAGTTTGGGGCAGCTCGACGAAGGAGGCTCCAGGGTGGAGATTGAACATGGAGTGCTCCGTATCTGGGACCGGCGTGGTCGTCTTCTCGCTAAGGTACATTGCGGGCCCAATCGGCTGTACATCCTGCACTTGGAGGCCGCGCAGCCGGTGTGTCTTGCCGCCAGGAAGGAGGACGAGTCATGGAGGTGGCATGAGCGCTACGGGCATCTCAGCTTCAAGGCGCTGCACCAGCTTTCGGCAAGGGGAGATGGTGAGGGGATGCGGTGATCAAGCATGCGAGCAAGTCTGCGACACTGCGTCACCACCAAGCTCTCGCCCATAAAGCCGCTTTCGCGCAGAAGAAAAGCGATGATCACTGGCAGCGCCTCGACCTCGCCCACGGCGACTTGTGCGGGGGCGTGGACGCCGGCGACGCCTGTGAGGGCGCCGCTACTTCTTGGCGATGGTGGACGACGCCACCCGCTTCATGTGGGGCGGTGCTTCGCCGACCAAGGATCTTCTTTGCGGATGCCGTGAAGCGGGTGAAGGCAAGGCAGAGAAGGAGACCCGCCGTGAGCTCAAGGGTGCCGCGGACCGACAATGGAGGAGAGTTCACCGTCGGAGGTGGCGCAGATGATCGCCGCCGAAGGAGTCAAGCGGCACTACTCGCACCACACTCACCGCAGTGAGAAATGGTGGTGGGAGCGGCATAATCGAGACGGTCGTGGCGACGCGACGCGCTCTGAGCGAGAGCTCCATGCCGCCAAATTCGGGGAGGCGGTGATGACGGCGGTGCATCCGCTCAACCTGCAGCAGCCGACAAGAAGCTTGCAAGGCAAGACCCTATATGAGGCTCGGTATGGACGACGCGCGCGGTGGTGAGCTATCTGCACAGATATTTGGTGCGTCGCCTACACAAGGGAGTTTTCGGGCGTGCGCAAGCTCGACGAGCGCGGCAAAGGTGGGGTCTTCATCGGCTACGCCGAGGGCGCCAAGGCCTACGGGTCCTCGATCCGCGACAGGGCGCAGCGTCAAGGTGAGCCGCGACGTGGTGTTTGATGAAGGGCGCGGCTAGGATTGGTCCAATTCGGCCGCCGGGACGTCTGCTTCCGCCTCCAGCGACTTTGACATCGAGTTCTGGGGAGTCGACGCAGACGGAGCTCCGCCGCGCACGCCGTCACCAGCTCCAGGGGAGCACGATCCACCGGCCTCCTTTGCTTCACCAGCAGCGGAGACCGAGCAGGCGGACCCAGTTGAGTTCGCGTCACCGCTCGAGGACGACGACGATCGCCTTGACGCTTCCTACGACGGCGAAGCAAGCGCAGATGACCGCACCATGCCCAACATCATCGGGGACGCGCCACACCGCCGCCCGGCTTCACGTCTCTTCGCCGAGCTTCACCTCACGCACGCCGCCGTGAGCCGCCAACTCGCGGAGGTCAAGGCGATCTGCTGGCGAGCCGCCATGGAGCAGGAGATCAAGGCGGTTGAGCAGAACCGCACGTGGGAGCTTGTGGAGCTTCCTCCCGGTCACCGGCCCATCACTCTGAAGTGGGTCTACAAGCTCAAGAAGGACGAGCGGGGCATGGTGACCAAGTACAAGGCGCGCTTGGTGGCGCGGGGTTTCGTCCAGCAGGAAGGGATCGACTTCGACGACGCGTTTGCTCCCGTGGCGCGCATGGAATCCGTCCGAGTCTTCCTCGCGCTGGCGGCCCAAGAAGGATGGCGCGTCCACCACATGGACGTCAAATCGGCCTTCCTCAACGGCGACCTCAAGCAGAAGGTGGTGGCTCTATCTAGTTGTGAAGCTGAGTACATTGCCACTACCACAGCTGCAACACAAGCTATTTGGCTATCCAGGCTGCTGGCAGACCTCTTTGGAAGGAATGTGGAAGTGGCTGAACTGAAAGTTGATAGCAAGTCTGCACTTGCTCTAGCCAAGAATCCAGTCTTTCATGAGCGCAGTAAGCACATCAGAATCAAGTATCACTTCATCAGAAACTGCTTGGAAGATGGAAGTATTAGGGCTGATCACATATCCACCACTGATCAGCTAGCTGACATTCTAACCAAGTCTCTTGGAAGATCAAAATTTGAAGAGATGAGGGGAAGAATTGGGCTCAAGCAGATCACTTCCAAGGACCACAAGGCTAAAGGGGAGAATTGTCAGTAATTAGCCTAGTGTTCATGTTTTCTAGTTACCTACTATAGCTATTTACTATTCACTGTCATGTAATTTTTCAGGTTCCTTGGCAACCAAGTAGGAATCATAGCATCTGCTTTATGCAGTTAGAATATGCTAAGGAGTAGGTACACCACTTGCTTATATATGCAGTGGTTAGCATCTTTTTGTATCTAAGTTGTTATTGCAATTCAATACAATCCAAGCGGCCTGTTGGCCAAGCTGCCCTCTGGCAGCCCCAGTTCTACTTGTGCCGAATTACCTGTGATCTGGTGATCTACGCCAACAATTAGTCTATTGGGTGGACTTGATACCTGAAGTAAATACAACATTGCTTCTGGTTAATACTAGATAAAGAGTAAAATGCACCACGGTCCTTAACTTTTCCCAAATTCTCATCTAGGTCCATAGACTCAGGCTCTGGGTCCTTAATTTTCTTTTTGATACATAAAGAGTTTATGGATCTAAGTGGGAATCTAGAAAAAGTTTAAGGACCCCAGTGCATTTCACTCAGATAAAAATTGAAAGTTTTAGAATGGATACAATTTGGGGCAGAGCAACCATAGGAGATGACACAGCAAAACTATCTCACATATCTTTAGATTGAATACAATAAGAAACTGTAGGAGTTGACAGTTTACACAACAAAGTCCACCTATGACCATTCACCATCTCTAATACGTCCTCCATTGAAAGAAAAATGCAATTTACCGTACTAGTTTCTAAAACAAATGATTGAATTGCCTTGAAGAGCTGAAATAACTCCAGGGTTAGCTAGTTGATTTCATTTGTTAAAATCTTTTATGCTTTGTGAGCTCGATAGAAGTCCACCCATACAACAGGGCTTGCCAAATTGACATTAACATTCTTTCTGAAGAAATGGAGCTTTCTCTGTGGATGAAGCATATGGTATTTATGGTGTTCATCCATGAAGAAAATTGCTGTAATGTCCTTGGCCTGAATTCTAGTGCTTCAAATCCACCATGTTGCCGCATAGTTCAACCAATGTGAATGTGGTACTGTGGCTGACAAACAGTAAATCACTCTCCATTCCTTTTGTTTGATGTTAATGACTTTCACGCTCTCCAAGATATGACATTGACAGCTACTGTAATGACTACTCCCTCCATCCCAAATTATAAGTCATTCCAAGAATCTTGGAGAGTCAAAGCATCTCAAGTTTTACCAAAATTATAGAAATAATTACAAAGATTTATGACATTAAGTAGATATACTATAAAAATATAATTAATGAAGAACCTAATGATACTTAGATGGTATCATAAATGTTATTATCTTATCATATAAATTTGGTCAAACTTGAGATGCTTTGACTCTCTAAGATTCTTGGAATGACTTATAATTTGGGATGGAGGGAGTATATGTTAGTGACAGTTGGTAAAATTATAATATTACAAAACTATGTTATAGCGATATCATTTGCTTTGGGCATATGGCCAATTTAGATTGATTGTGAAATAGCTGGACCGCCCAGATTCTAATAACAAAGAACACATTGAAACACCCTTGTTTTTAAGAGAAGAGGGTGTACCTTCTTATTTTTAACAAACAACAATTGAGGGAAACAAAAACCTTAACTAGTTCATGCATGGTTTCCTGTGCTTCAGACATGCTTGTTCTGAAAATTTCCAATAATTACTTCAACTATTGCTGCTGCACATGCAGTCTTAACTGTTTTTATCTGTTCACTAATTTTTACACTTTCTTATTGTGTTTTTTTCCTTTGGCAGCAAGCTGCACTTGTCCTCAATGCTTCTCGACGATTCAGATACACGCTTGACCTAAAAAAGGAGGAGGAGAAGGAACAAATAAGGAGGAAGATAAGGGCCCATGCCCAAGTCATACGGGTATTCATTCTATCTTATGTTCCCTTAATGCATTTTTATACAATGCTGCACCTTTTTCGTTTGATGGATTTGAGTTCGAATGCAATCAGGCCGCTTTACTATTCAAAGAGGCTGGGGAAAAGCAGAATCATGACACAGAGTTACCAGGTAACTGTTTGGGATAATAGATGCCTTTTAGTTTTAGGTTTCACGGAGAGTACAAGTGTCAATATCTTAGCTGTAATTATCGGTGACATTTGTCCCCATGATCAACATCTTTGTCAAGGATTGGTTGCTACTAAGTTGAGGACCTAACGGCATATATTTGTCTATAGTTGTGCAAAAATGGCAATACTACTTTTGTAATACTTCATTATTGTTCTTTTTATGCAGAAATTCTCCCGTGGGGGTTTGTAATTGGAGAGGAGCAGCTGACAGTGATGACTAGGGATCATAATTATTCTGCTCTGCAAGAATATGGAGGGGCATGTATCATTATCTTTGAAAGTAAATTTGAGTCTCCAACTTATGGACAGCCAATTAAGGCATGCCTGTCTTCTTTGAAAATTAGGTCAAAGGGCTCGCAAATTTACTGAAAACCAACCTAGAGAAGGGAATTCATGGCGATGTGGCAGATTTGTCATGCAGGGCAAATGCTTTTGGGCCTAACAGATATCCTCGCAAGAAAGGAAGGAGCTTCTGGGCAAGCTTCCTTACCCGATTTAACTGTGATTACTCTATTAAAGCTATTGCTTTAACAGTTAACATTTTTTTTTCTTTTGGTGGGGGCGGTTCTGTTTCTACAGGTTTTTCTTTGGGAGGCCTGCCAGGACATGACGCTAGTTATCCTTATCATAGCTGCAGTAATTTCTCTAGTACTGGGCATTGCAACTGAGGTCAATTCCTTTAGTCTATCATATGTTTTTCCTGTTCCTTTTATGCTATCGTTTGTCGATCATTTGCTATTGATGCTTATCTGCTTATGATTTGAAGTCTGTTATATAAGCTTTCAGAAACAATGTTTTTGTTGAGCACTTTACCTATACAGTTATGCTTTTAAACATATGTTTTGTTTATTAGTTCTAACTCCAAGGGTTTCACCAGGGTATCAAAGAAGGCTGGTATGATGGCACTAGTATTGCATTTGCGGTTTTTCTTGTGATAGTCGTTACTGGTATGATGCTTGTTTTTTACCCTCTAATCTCTATATTCATTAATGCTCTAAGCAACATAATACAATAGGATGATGCAAATCATGGGTTCACTTATTCTTGAATTTTCTGAGTAAACGCTGTAATTTTGGGAGGTAGAATCCAGATTCGTTATTATCCTTACTTTCAGTAATATGTTTGTAGTGTGCAGGATTGAATCCTTACTAATATGCTTCCAGGTTGCTGTATAGTTTTTTTTTTAGTGCCTGTTTTTCGCCTTTGCTAAACGATTTTCTATTGAGAATAAAAGTTTCACCCCTAACTATTTTCTTCTCTTATTGTGGTAGCTGTTAGTGACTACAAGCAGTCACTGCAGTTCCAACACCTCAATGAGGAGAAGCAAAACATACAAGTGGAGGTTTGTGAAAGGAAACTACCATACAAGTTTGGGTCAATAGATTGTAGCACTCTAATTTAGTTTCATCATTCTGTGTTGTTCAGGTTATTAGGGGTGGTCGACGGATTCAAGTATCAATATTTGATATTGTAGTTGGTGATATTGTAGCTTTAAAAATCGGTGATCAGGTAAGGAAGCAAATATGTTTTGCTTTGATTTATGGCTAATGTTTGTGTTCCTGACATTATAATCGTATCGAAATGGCATTTTTAGGTCCCAGCTGATGGTGTTGTAATCAGCGGTCATTCTCTTGCCATTGATGAGTCCAGTATGACTGGGGAAAGCAAGATTGTAGGCCACATTTTACAGTTTACACTCTACCTAGAATCAGTTTCCCAATGGTTAGCAGACACACTAAACAATGCTTTCTTCTGTTAGGTTATGAAGGATCAGAAGTCACCCTTTTTAATGGCTGGATGCAAAGTTGCTGATGGTTTTGGTACCATGTTGGTGAGTGATTGTATTTTGCCTCCTTACTCCTTGCTTATTTTTCTATTTTGTTCTGAAAACTACATGTTCTTGAAGGAAAAGAGGCTAGGCCTAATTTGTATTGTTTAAGTGTATGTTTACCCACTCCCGAGAATGTTTCCAGTGGCTCACTTGTGTTAAGGACTAACACTCTTGAGTCTTGACTATTATACCTTAACAACTTACAATTACAAAGGGGTATCCCTTTTTTTTTGAACGGGAAATACAGCAGGGGAAGCCCCCACTGTAGGATTTTATTAAATAAATCAGGAACCTGTACAAAAGATAGAGAAATAACAACAAACCAACCAGCTGGAGGGCTTAGGTAGCCATGGCGTGAAGGGAACCGCAGGCCAAAATCCAGGGAGGCCTAAGAGAGGAGATCTAAACAGAGGAGAAAAGCTACACGTTTATCATCTCTCATTCTAAAAGCCTGAAGTTTGGCCTCTTCACAGAAGAGGTTTTTCCAAGAAGAGAAAGAAGGCCGGCCTCTGTCAAAGGGGTATCCTATATCTGTAGTCACCTGGAAATTTGACAATAGACTCTGTCATACATGATTTCTGCATCTCTTATTCCCCTGATACATCAACAATACCAACTATGTAATATTGTAATCGCTGTGTGCGGACACGCAGAGGCGGGAAGTTCTCTTCCATTTTCCAAAAAAAAAAAAACTGTAGTCACCAAGTTCCTAGGTCGATTGGGTCGAGGAACATTTTTTTTCTTGAACAACGTAGGAGAGCTGCTTGTCATTTTATTAAGAAAGGAAATCTTACAAATGTGAGGGCTAGAACAAACCTTCCCAACACACCCTACTTACACTAATCCATAGCTGAAAAGAAATTTGCGCCACTGCAAAAATAAAAGCCTGATCATGACCTGCTTGGTCAGGATAAGCTCCTGAGGAGCAGAAGCACCGGCCAAACACCACAAATGTCATTCCTCTACCATTTGAAGAACCTGGACATTCGGACGAGTTCAAAAACAGCAGCTGTTGAGGAACATGGAACGCTATTTAAGATAGGTTTTGCCAAGGCTAAGACGAAATTGTTCCCCTGTTCCCCGGATGATGAATGTGGCATTGTACCTGTACCACGTTCTTGGTGACACTCACTGGGTATCCCATTTATTTACACCCCCCTCCTCCTCCTCCTCCCCTGGGTATCCCATTTCCCTTCCTCTAGCATGCCAATTCCTACCTGAACTTGCTGTATGACTCAGCAGCAGCTCCCTTGCTGATTCATCACTTTAGCTCTGCTTCCCCTGCTTGGCCATCTGCATTTAGTCCTCCTTCGGTATTTCTCCTAGCGCCTTTCTTGCACCCTGCAATCACGTTTGCCAAATTACCGATGATTTAATGACCTACTTTTTGCTTACTCATGCAGTCCAATTCTAACTGATTAGGCCCTAATAGACCGCTAGACCTCATTGCTGGTGTGGACAAAATAGCCTTCCATTGGATTCGTGGTGCATAATTGCCAATGAAATCCATAGTAGGGTGCTCATGCTTAAAGGTTAAAACACTGGTTTCATTGTTTTAGACGCCCTTCCAGTCCCAGGCCCATCGGAGTCCACAACCAGACAAGGCAGTGTTCGGCTGAGCTACAAGCCGGCTTGTTCGGCTTCTTTTTTCAGCCGGAGCAGTGTTTTTCTCTCACAACATTCCAGCATGAACAGTGTTTTCCAGCATAAACAGTAAAAAAATTCATACCAGCCAAACACTGCCCAAAGCCTTAGGCTTAACTCTGCCCAAAATACTAGTCTTGATAGGTGAGGGTTGCCCCCTGAAAGTGTCGTAGATTGGGTATTATGGTTGGGATAGATCGTATTGAGCCTCTCAGGCAGTATATATAAAGTACAGAGACTTCTGACTCGGGGAGCAAGTTCCCTCGCCTGTATACATATGTCAATATCGGATTACAATCCTAACTACCAAATATACTCTAACACTCCTGACTTATATGTTTTGATCCCCCACCATCAACTTCCGATGTAAAACTAAACCTAGCAAAATACACCCATTCCATATCTGTTGTTCATTGGTGTGTATATGGAGTTTTAATTATTGCTGTAGATTGTACAAAGGATTACACTTTCAGCTAGAGTAATTAATAGTGCGAGTTAGTTCGTGACACCCTTAAGAAATGTCCTTATTAACAGGCTTTGCGATGAGGCATGGATGTTTTGTGTATATGAACGTTTCCAGTTCTTTGCAGGTAACAACAGTTGGCCTTAACACCGAATGGGGCTTATTAATGGCCAGTATTTCAGAAGACAACAATGAAGAAACTCCTCTGCAGGTTTCACTCTTTTATCTTCCACTGATGATTTGATCAGGAATTGTGCATTGCGCTTTGATACTCTAAAGCCTTGCTTACATTTTTTGGTGTACTTCATGGGTTTATCTTTTCTCTTTAAGGTGCGGTTGAATGGAGTAGCAACATTCATAGGTATCGTAGGGCTTTCTGCTGCTGCTATGGTCCTCGTAGTCCTCTTTGCAAGGTAATAACAATATCTGTAAGTCTTGACGATTAAAATTCGAATAGCTCAGGTAACCCTACAGTTGAAGGGCAGGCTGTCACGCTGATTCACAACGCTATTTTTTTGTCCTTTTAGTATTCTGGAACTGCTAAAGCACTACAAAGCATATTGCAGACACCACTGACAATATAATGTTCCTTATCTATTAGAAATGACCTATGACTCATTATGAACTGATCTATATGTGAGAGTGAGACAAACAGCATCAGACTTATTATTTCCCTTTTCGTGTTCCCCCCATAGTTTTATCCTATAGGGCTCAAAATGACGACATACTGCAGATCTTTTTTTTTTCTGCTGTAAATCCGCTGTATATATGTCAAATTAGAATTTTTTTTCTCTTTGCTTCCAGATATTTTACAGGACATACTACAAATTCAGATGGCTCTGTTCAGTTTGTTAAGAGGCACACGAGTGTGAAATCTGCAATATTTGGTTCAATAAAGATACTAACTGTTGCGGTATGTAGTGGCTGTTTTTAGTACATTGTAGATTTATTTTTTTATTAAATCTTATACTGCTGAATCATCTAGGTAACTATTGTTGTTGTCGCTGTACCTGAGGGCTTACCGCTGGCTGTCACACTAACGTGAGCTGATATATTCTGGCGTTTTCTTTAATATTGCATTTTATTTTAATTTCTCAATGTCCTTTTCCCATTTCATCAGTCTGGCTTATTCCATGCGAAAAATGATGGCCGACAAAGCACTGGTACATATTTCTCCAGATTAGTTTATGATGTATTCTTCCAGTTATCACATGTTGCTAAGCATGTCAATTCAGGTGCGGAGGCTTTCTGCCTGTGAAACAATGGGTTCAGCTACAACTATTTGTAGTGACAAGACTGGTACATTAACATTGAACCAGGTTAGTTGTTTTTGTTTTGAAATGGGCCTTGTACTTATTCGTGATACTATGTACTCTCTCTGTTTTAAATTATAAGATGTTTTGGCTTTTCTAGATACATGTCTTTTACTATGTATCTAGACAGTGTATGTCTAAATGCATAGCATAAACAATGTATCTAGAAAAGCCAAAACGTCTTATAATTTCGAACGGAGGGAGTAGTAAATTGCCTCTGGTTTTGTGATTATTTGACCCTGGAAATTTTTGTTGTTCAAGATGACTGTTGTGCAATCGATTGTCGGTGAAGTAAAGCTGCAACCTGCTGGTAATGTTGATAAACTGTCACCTACTGTAGTCTCACTTCTACTTGAAGGAATTGCACAGAATACCTCAGGCAGTGTGTTTGAGGCACAGGTAATGTTGTGTTCTCATCACACAACTACAAAGGTGAACTTAGATAGTTCTTTATGAAATAATTTTGTAAGACAGTTGCAGCTACTTTGTATTCAGCTTTTAACTTGGGCTGTTGATTTTGTTGCACTGTCGCACGAACACTGCACACAAACTTTTTTTTTTCAATGGGTGTGTCTAGGGGTGTAGGGGGATGGATTTCTTTGTCCTCATTTAGTTTTTCTCCTGTGTGTTCGAGAAAAAAAAAATCTAAATGAATAGTTCCTAGATCAATGGCCAGTTAATTGGGTTTCTATCTATTTATTTGGGAAAGTTTTAATTTGACAGGCGAGCATGTAGTTTTTTCGTTGGTGTGTGTCTGGTTGTTTGGTGTATGGGTTACAAACCTTTTTCTTCTTAATATAATGATATGCAGCTCTCCTGTGTGTTCGTAAAAAAAAAATCTATTTATTTGGGAAGTAAGAGATATGTGGCTTAGTAAAGTGGAGATAGGCTACGTAGGACTTAGGAGTCAGTTCATGTCCGTAAAAGAGAGATCCTTGTATCCATTTTAAGGAAATGACTGGTGATACAGCAAAAGGCTTTGCCCACCAAATTGGTTTAATCAAAATCTCTAATCAACAAAGATGCCTGGCGACTTGAGGGGACCATCCTTGGTGGGTGTTGGAGCTTAAGTTTTTAAAATTTTCAGTTTGATTACTGTTGAAACTGATGAAATGGTTATTCTGGATGTATTTTGTGATTTTGTCTTATACGTTTGGCATATCTAAATTCTTAGCTACTTGGTCTCTATGTATGTCAATATCTTTACTGCTTCTGTTATCATTGATGCTACTTAGAGTGGTCTATTCTTCTGATATAAAATATCATATTTGCGTATTTGTATCCCCCTATAATGTCCTAAATTGTGGCTTATCAGGATGGTAGCGTCGAGGTAACTGGTTCACCAACAGAAAAGGCTATCCTATCTTGGGGTCTTGATGTAAGTTTATTAGCTATTAAAAATTACTTCTATTTCTGGTGACATTGTTAAAATTTAATTTCATTTCTGATAACTACATTTTTTCCTTATAGCTTCGTATGAAATTTGCGGAGGAGAGATCACGATCTTCTATAATTCATGTCTCTCCCTTCAACTCTGAAAAAAAGCGCGCTGGGGTTGCAGTGGTTGCGGTAATTCCATCTGCATTTTCTTTTTCACTTTGTCTTTATTGTTTGTTTGAGCTCTGTTTTACTATTACATTATTCCTGCTTTTTGGTGTCCTATTTGTTGAAATGATTGATGCCAGCTTTCTGTGTGGATGAATTATTTTGAGACTTTGTTAAATACAAGGCTACATAATACATATAACTTAAAACGATAACACATTCTGAAATTTACTCTTTTTTTCTAGCTCTGTTTCTGTATGTTGATTGAGTTCCAAATATTACTTTAGGATAAATTGTTGCATCTTATATATTGAGATTGCTTGTCTCTTCTCAACCATCCTTTGTCATTAATATGACACTGTTGAAGTATTCTTGAGACAAATTTACTCATCGTTTTCATATTGAAGATCTAGTACCCAAACGTACTGTTGTTCAAATTTGAAATCTGTTGACCCAAAGCATTCCGGAGGCACTTAATTCCAAACGTGCTGTTGTTCAAATTTGAAATCTGTTGACCCAAAGCATTCCGGAGGCACTTAATTCCAGTGAAGAGAGCAGTAATCTTGTTCATGTGCCATTTTCAGAGAGATTCGGATGTTCATGTACACTGGAAAGGAGCTGCTGAAATTGTTCTTTCCTTGTGCACAAGTTGGCTCGATTTGGATGGCTCACCACATGAAATGACACCTGATAAGGTAGAAACACTGGTCCCTTCAGGCTTACCCACTTGCCCCCTCCATTCCTAAATAGATTTCATTCTAGGATCCTGTACAAGAAGAACCAAGGCACACATATAGAAGACTATAGCTTCACGCAGAGCCTTCGTCATGTTAATAGTTCTTGGGATGATCTTTAAGCTATTCCTGTTCCAAATCATAAAAATATGTCATTTGGGACAAGATTTTAGTCGAACCTTAAACAAACTAATCCCCTGTCAAACATGTCATAGGACAATATTTAGTTAAACCTTAAAAAACTACAAACATCAATAACCTAGAAATTGTTTAGTTTGAAGACATGCAAGATGCAAATTATATTATGTGTAGAATTTTATTGAAAAATATGTGCAAAATCTTATAAATTTGAAGGATTTTAAGAATATATTCTACTATTCTAGTAGAAACTATTGGTCAAATATATGCATCAAAGGCTGCAATCTCAAACGTGATAAGTATTTTTGCGGGGCATGTAAGGAAAACATGGTAAAAAAATCATCTTGGGAACGACCCTGGAAAGCTATAACCCTATAATTGCAGATTTGAGGATAGAAGATGTATTTTGACACTTCTCATTTCCACATCGATCTTTCAGGCTAATCAACTCAAGAAACTTATAGAAGATATGGCTGAGCAAAGTCTTCGATGTATTGCTTTTGCTTATCGAAATCTTGATCTTAAGGATGTTCCAAGTGAGGAGCAAAGAATCAACTGGCAATTGCCAGATAATGAATTGACTCTTATTGGAATCATAGGGATGAAGGTATATGCTCATGAACTTGCAAGTGTTGAATTATGTTGCTTGTTCTAGCTCTTGTACCCTTGCTTGTTGCTGAGTTTCCCCTGTTTATTTGCAGGATCCTTGTCGCCCTGAAGTAAGAGACGCTGTTGAACTGTGCAAAAAGGCTGGTGTTAAGGTGTGCATTTGTGTTGCGTTCATGCCTAAGCAAACGTTTGAGGATTGTTCGAAATAATACAAGCCATATCTGTCTCAGAAATAAGTGTGCTGAGGTTTCTTGCATAGTATTTCATTATTAAATATTATTCATCATATAATACCCATGTTAGAAAACCAGATTTCATTAGTTTTTTTTTCATGAATTTGTGTTCTTTTACTGGTTAGCTCAGTATGATGTTTGATAATTTTATTTTTCTGTTTTGAGATGCAATTTAAAATGGTAAAGTGAATGAATCTTCTAACATGGGTACTTGGTAAAGTGGATCTCCTACCATGGGTATTTTTCTATTATCTCTAGATACAAAAGCTGTTTATTTGTATTTAGTGGTTGTGAAAGCACATGAATGTTGGCCATGTTAACTTTTCCTAAAATTTTATCTGCATTACTGGAGTGTGAAGTCATCACGAATCTAGCCTGGCTTCTGTGGTTTCTAAATTCCTTCTAAATAAATAGGTACGAATGGTAACTGGAGATAATCTGAAGACAGCTAAAGCAATAGCACTTGAGTGTGGAATACTCGATGACTCAGAGGCATCTGCACAAGCTATAATAGAGGGAAGAGTTTTCCATGCTTATGATGATACTGAAAGGGAGAATATTGCCGACAAGATTTCTGTAAGTCTAACTCATTTGTGTTTGAAAGTCCCTCCGTTCCAAATTATAGGTCGTTATGGCTTTTCTAGGACATAGCGTATATCTAGGCGCATAACAAGAGCTATGTACCTATAAAAGTCAAAACGACCTATAATTTGGGACGGAGCCACGGAGGTAGTACTATGCAACGTAATTTAGTTTGGGTTGATTGAGTCAAGGATATTTGAGTGTGGTGTGGTGTTTGTGTCATTGCTAAGCTTGGTTCTTGTGATTGCTACTGTTCCTCTAGTATGACTGCTAATGTCCCTTTTCTTAACTTCTGATATCCTATGTTCTGTCATTCTGTTACAACTAGAAGAACGCCCCGCGTGTTGCTGCGGGAATAGCTGGTGAAATTATACTACTTATATTTACTAATATGATTGAATAAATGTCATAATACATGTTAGTAAATGATTTTTAGCATTCTGATGTGGACAACTAAATATATGTTAGTAAATGATGTGGTTTGCTAATGTGAATAGCTTGAATGAAGACATAATGGCATGTGTTAGTTGGATGTGTTAGTGGATGTTGATGTGGACACTTTGCATGGCGAGATAGTTGAATGTGCTAGTGGGATGTTCTAGTGGATGCTGATGTGGACACTTTGCATGGCAAGATAAATTGCTAGTGGAGTTTATCTTTATAAGAGATATAGATATCTCATGCACTATTGTAATTGCTAGATAAAAATATGAAAATTTGAAACAACTGAATCTGTGTTCCACATACCTAGATACAAAATGTTCACCTTTTTCAGTTTCATTTAGCTTGCTAACTGGTTTTGTCGAGGCAGTTTTTGACTCTTTATTTCATCATGTAAATGGACAGGTGTTCTGTGTTTAGTCCTTGGATTACACTTTATATTGTTCATTATGTGCTCTTGCTATTGACTGTTCTACTGGGACTAAGATCTATCAACAATACATTGCAGGTGATGGCACGATCTTCTCCTAACGACAAACTTCTCCTAGTAAAAGCTCTTAAGAAAATAGGCCATGTTGTAGCCGTTACTGGTGATGGAACAAATGATGCTCCTGCATTGCATGAGGTACATTCAATTTGGGAGTTCATATTATAAATGAATACAAGAATTCGCCATGCATGTGATTATATGATGCACTATTTGGTAATGCGGTACTACTAACATGTTGAGGTTTCTTTCTTCTCCTTCTCAATCTTATCATTACTCCCATTTATCAGGCAGACATTGGTCTTTCTATGGGCATCCAAGGAACAGAAGTAGCTAAAGAGAGCTCAGACATAATTATTCTGGATGACAATTTTTCTTCTGTTGTGAAGGTTTGGTATATTTTTAGAATCTAACGATCTTGATAATATGCACCTAATACAGCGTTTTCTTATATGTTCTTCATTTGTTTTATATTATAGGTGGTTCGCTGGGGTCGCTCTGTTTATGCAAATATCCAAAAGTTTATTCAGTTCCAGCTTACCGTAAATGTTGCAGCTCTTGTCATCAATGTTGTTGCTGCTGTTTCCTCAGGAAATGTTCCTCTAAATGCTGTTCAGGTTTGTATAAACATCTGTAGTATGTTTTTTAAACAATTACTGCTATAGCTATACTAAATAAGATATTTAGTGTGGTTATATTGATATTTTAAGTTTTTAACTGCAACCGATTTCTGAATACCAAGAGATAACTTACTCTTGCCGCACCCCGTTTTTTTTTCTTTTCTTGAACAGCGCAGGAGAACTGCGCATCATTTCATTAAGGTAGGAAAATGTTACACGGGTCTAAGAGACCCAACTCACACACCCCACACCCTGGACACTAAGTTACAGACTCGCCACAATAACAGCAGAAACGACCAAATGCCTCCGAGCTTTAAGCTCCAGCAGGCTGCGACCTGAGAACAGGCTCCTGGAGTTTAGAGGCTCCAGCCGACTAGCCGAGCACCAGAGACCTCCCTCTGAGCTAACAGCCCTAATGACCTCCTGAACGCTTGGCCTCTTGTTGTCAAAGACACGAGTTGCGATGCTTCCAGATCTCCCATGCCACCAAAATTATCAAGGAGTTGAGGCCTTTATGCGCTTCTTTGGGGACAGCTGCAATTGATCTCTTCCACCACCCCGAGAAACGAGTCACAGTAGGTTGTGGTGCCAACTGCAGCAGCCCTAACTGTTGCAAAATCAGGGTCCAAACTTGTCGAGCGAAGACACAGACCATCTTGCAGTTTCCTGAATTATTATAAATGGTTACAATGTTGCATGCTGCAATATGTGGTTGTTAGCATTATACAGTTGGTCTTGTCTTGTTGCTCTCCATTTTGTGCTACTAACCTGAACCAAATCCTGCTATTATTTTATTATTCTTTTACTAGGTGAATCAAGTGCTTTATGTGTAAATAGGAATTAGTTGCAGACATGTAATCCAAAGCTAAGCTATTAAAGATATATGCACAAATGTGATGTAGTAACTATTAGGAATAACATCTTTTCTTTTTGAGTAATGTGTTTTTTTCCCCTTGAACACACAGTAGAGTTGTGTATATTGATATTATATAGAGAGAAAGAAAGGGGATAGAAATCCCATACAATGCAACCTCTATGCCTCACCTATGAGACAAGAGAAGGTTGCAAGGAACTGGCCTTTCTAGACACTCTAGCATCTCTCCACGACAAAAAAAAAAAAATAGATCCTGAAGTTTTCGAGCACCAGCAAAGCACCATGGACTCACTTCCTCTTTGAAGGAATGCTGTGCCCTTGCTAGGGAAGGAATCACAACGTCAAAACCTCTATTGCTTTGAAGCCACAAGGTCCATTCTCCCAGGATCACCATTCTGTTAAAACCTTTTCTTTGGGTATTCACAACTTTTTTGTTTGCTTGTCTCCACCAATCAGTGAAGCTCTTCTCATTCCTTCTAGGTACAGTGCACTCAAGCCCAAGAGGGGCTAGCAAATTATACCGAAATTGCCTAGCAAAAACACAATTAGTGAGGACATGCTGCACTGTCTCCTCTTGAAGTCTTGGTCATAAATAATACATTGCTCGGGATAGGGAGTTGTCTTTGGGATAACCGGTCTGCAGTCCAGCACTTATCTCTAACCGCTGTCCATAAAAATATCTTGCATCTCGGAGGACCAAAACCGCTGCCAAGGCTCAAAGGTTATTGAACCAAAAAAATAGGCTCTGTAAATGGATTTAGAAGTAAAGACTCCACTCCCCTCATGTCTCCAAAAAATGTAGATCATCTTTGTGTGTTAGATTGAACTCCTCAGTAATGCATTATAAAGCCCATGGCTTAAAATAAATGTCAATGTGAAAATAATATTGCCAACTTGCCATGGACCAAACCAAGTTGTTAATGAACAAAGTGTAGTTAAAGTATTAAGCTTTTATTTTAAAGTTGAACACCAACAAATATTAGCTTCCTTTTGTTTCTTATGCAGCTTCTCTGGGTTAATCTCATCATGGACACACTTGGTGCTCTTGCTTTGGCTACTGAACCACCAACGGATCAACTTATGAGGCGGCCACCTGTTGGACGCAGGTTAGAAGTCTTTTCCTTTTGAATCATTATGGGTGTGATTGGTTTCCTCCACTAGGCTTAGCCTGCATTAGGCCTTATGCAGCATAACCCAATCCACCATAAATATATGCAATATATGTTGGTGTTTGGTTGTCCTCTGCACTTGCAAACATAAAGTAAGATTGCTTTCGGTTGGTTACATCATGTTGCGTTGCATGTGGTCACCTCAATGTTCTAGTATAGGTGAGGAGGTGAGAATCTATTTTTGTGGACCTTATCAGCTTGTGCAAGGCGCATGCATTGGCTAATATGACCAGTTCTGTCGTACTAGCTAATGCAGCATTGGTCTTCTTATGAATACTATGCAAACCTGCATAAGGGCCTTTGCAGTCAACCAAACATGGATAAGCTGCACTGCACAATCCTGGATGTAAACTAATGCAGGCAACCAAACAAACAGATGTAACACAAAATCTGCATCTGCACTTTATTCTTCTGCAAATATCATCTTTTATTCAGTTAGCAGTTAGTCGTTTATGTTTCAAAATTTTCAATAATCAACCTACAATAACATGGTGACAATATTGCTGCAAAAGCACTCTCCACAATCTGGTTTTCTAGCATACCACTCTTCAAACCCAGTTTGCTATTTTAGCACTCCTTAATTACTTCCTTGTTTTTCCGCCATCATAGCATCATGCACAGAATTGAATACCAATGGCTCAGGTTTTGGACGTGGTGCCTCTCACCGTTATTTCCTCCATCTCCATAGTTATTCCCAGTTCCTTATCCACCTCTCTCTGCCTTCAACCTTCCATCTACCTATCCTCTGTTCACCAGTTCACCACACATACAGCCTGTTCGGGAGGCCGTATCGTATCGTGGATTATTTACTGCTGGCTGGTTTGGTGTGAGAGAAAAACACTGTTCCCGGCTGGAAATTTACGATCGTTTATGAGTAAGCGAACAGGCTGATATCTGATGGCCCTGAGATCTCCCGCACGGGTGAGCCGACCGCTCACCGGGTTCTCTCACACACTACGGCTGGAGGTAGAAGAGGGAGGGAGAACAAAGCGCGCACACACACACAGCACAAGCACCAGCGTTGGCCGGAGCTCTGCAGAGCAGATGGCAAAACTGAACTCTCTCACTTTACTGAGTTGCAGTGGGAAGCTATATATACATCTCTACCTATCTAATCCTAGTACACAGACATACCAGGCTGCCATGCTGCTACAGTGACTAGATGTGACAGCAGGACTGACTTTGGCGCCTGCCCCTACTGTGGCTACAGTGCGGCAGCGGAGCCTTTCGGCTCCTGCCCCTGCTGTGCGTACAGAGGGAGAGCAGCAAATTACTTTATAATTCTTCCCCTAATCCTGCTGCTAACCCTAAAACCTCCACCATGCCGATCTTCTTCAGCTCCGTGAACCGAAGACGGCCGAGCGGCTTGGTGAGGACGTCCGTGAGTTGCCGACCAGTTTCGACGAACTCGATGACGATCTGCCCTCCATCGACACAGTCCCTGAGGAAGTGGAACTTGACGTCGATGTGCTTGCTCCGGTCGTGGAGAACCGGATTCTTCGTGAGGGAGATGGCGGGCTGGTTGTCCACCATCAGTGCTGGTGGGTGAGCTTCCACACCGGTTAGCTCGCCCAGCAACCGGCGCAGCTACACAGCTTGGCACGCTGCTGTGGCCGCCGCCACGTACTCTTCCTTGCACGTGGACAGCGCCACTACCTTCTGTTTCATCGACAGCCATGAGATTGGAGCCAGCCCGAGGAAGACGAGCACGCTAGAGGTGCTCCGTCGTCCGTCGATGTCCCCCACCATGTCTGCATCACTGAACACAGTGAGCTGCAGCCCACTTCCGCCGGTCTTGGGGAAGGCGATCACCTGATCCACCGTTCCCTTGACGTAGCGCAGTAGCCGCTTCACCGCGGCCCATTGATCCTCTCGTGGATCCTCCATGAAGCGGCTGACGTAGCCCACGACGAACGCAATGTCCGGCCTCGTGTGGACTAGGTAGCGCAGACCGCCGACGATGCTCAGGTAGAGTGTTGCATCTACCTTCGCCGCGGTACTGGCCTTCGTCAGTTTCAGCCGCTCCTCCATCGGAGTCACGCACGGCTTGCACTCAGCCATGCCGCTCCGCTCCAACAGCTTTGAGGCGTACGCGCTCTGACCGAGCGTGAGCGCCTCCTTCCCCTGTATCACCTCGATGCCGAGGTATTAGGAGACGCGCCGAGATCGTTCATTCGAAAACGAGTCGTCATCTTGTGCTTGAAGCTGTCGATGTCCTCCGCACGCGCACCGGTGATGATCAAGTCGTCCACATACAGGCCGACGATGAGCTCCTCCTTCCCCCGTCGCCGCATGTAGAGTGCGTGCTCGGTTGCACACCGCGTGAACCCAAGCTCGCCCAGCGTGGCGTCAAGCTTGGCGTTCCACGCTCGCGGGGCCTACCGCAGCCCGTAGAGCGCCTTGCGCAGTCGGAGCACCCTGTGCTCTGCTCCCTTGACGGCGAAACCCGGAGGTTGCCTGACGAAGACCGTCTTCACCAGCTCCTGTTGAGGAAGGCTGATTTTATGTCCAGGTGATGGACCGCCAGTCCTTCGCTGCTGCCAAAGCCAGCAGCAGTTGGATAGACTCCATGCGCGCTACCGGCGCAAAGACTTCCTCGAAGTCGATGGTCTCGCGCTGGACAAAGCCTCGGGCGACGAGGCGCGCCTTGTGCTTGACAATGGCGCCGCGCTCGTCCCACTTGACCTTGTACACCCACTTCAGGCAGATCGGACGGCATCCTGAGGTGGATCGACGAGCTCCCAAGTCTCGTTTTCGGTATCGGAGCTGTACAAGCGCCGTCGTCGGACTAATCGCTGGCGATGACGGACGGTTCGGAGATGGGCGACAGCAGCGGCGCTGCTATGGCTGTCCAGCCACGACAGGAGGTCGTCGTGCGCACTGTGCGGGAGGTCAGCGGCACCAGTTGGCCGACGCTGACTCGCACCAACTATGGCGAGTGGGCCCAACTAAGGTCAAGCTCAGAGCCCGACGGCTCTGGAATGCCATTGACAAGGGCAACGACAACGAAGAAGACGACATGTCAGCGTTGGAGGCTATCCTCGCTGCTGTCCCTGCGGAGTACAGGGAGCCGTTGATTGCGAAGAACTCCGCTAAGGAGGCGTGGGAGGCCATTGCAGCGATGCGCATCGGCTTCGAGCGCCCAAAGAAGGCGACAACCCAGCTGCTAAAGCAGGAGTACGCCAACCTCAAGTTCAAGGATGTTGAGTCGGTGGAGGACTTCTCCCTCCGCCTGCAGTTGCTCATCAGCATACTGAGGAGCCAGGGCGTCACCATTAACGAAGTAGAGACGGTCTCCAAATACCTCCACTCCGTGCTGGTGAAGTACATTCAGATCGCTCTCTCCATAGAGACGACGCTGGACTTGTCCACCCTCACCATTGAGGATGTGACAGGCCGTCTGCGGGCGGTGGACGAGCGCGTGGAGCAGGCCACAGCAACGACGGACAGCGGCAAGTTACTACTGACAGAGGAGTGGGCTGCCCGGATGAAGGAGAAGTCCGGGGAAGCCTCCTTCAGCCGCGGTGGCGATGACAAGTGCTGCGGCAAGGCTTCTTCGGAGAAGAAGAAGAAGGTCGACCCCAACGCCTGCCGGCGCCAAAGTTCAGCTAGGCGCTAGGCGGAATCTAGGCGCTGACCCATTGCCTAGCGCCTAGTCGGGAGTACTCGGTCCTAGACGCTCCTAGACGTTTTCCTAGGCGTTTTGGCAATATAGCCATAAATTATATATATATTATGTATATAACTATATATATGTATATAACTACTATATATGAGTCACAGTAAGTATAAAAAGAGGGCCAGTAGACATCTGATTCCTAGCTAGCTTACTCTTGCATGTTCCTAGCTCCTGCAACACATTTTGACAGCCAGTAGTTAGTAAATTAGTCAATAGACAGCTAGCTGTTCATAAAAAAAATAGAAAACACTAAGTTGTGACTTATCTGGATGATTTCAGCAGCCTCCCATCCATGAGCACACCATATCATCAGCTGGTAATTACAATACAAATGGATAGGACAGTAATACAAGTGCACAACACAATTTATAAATAAAGGACAGCACAAGCACATAGTTCTTAGTTTAGGTCTCACAAATCACAAAAGAAGACACACAGACACAAAGTGACACAGCTGCAGTTCATAAGACCAGGGCATCACAAAAGGCTTCACTACTAGATGGAGATGGTCCAGATCATATTTCTTCTTCACTGTAGTACATATCCTCATCGTCATACTCTTCTTCAGACTCTCATTCAGTAGGAAATTCAGTAGGAACAGAGCAGGGGAGGAGCTGTCGGCATGGGAGGGGAGAGGAGCATGGGAGGGAAGGGACCTCACCTTGGGGACTTGGGGTGGCCGGCGGGGAGGGGTTCCAGTCGAGGACGAGCAGGACGGCGGCGGCGAGTCGACGATGAGCAGGACCGGCGGCGCGCGAGTCGGGGACGAGCTTGGACGAGCAGGGGAGGAGCAGGACCGGCGGGGAGGAGGTCGTCCGACGGGATGGACCTCGCCCGGCGAGGAGGACCGGCGGCGGGGACGACCAAATCTTACGCGGGGACGAGCGAATGGCGCCGCGCTCCCTTCTAATCCTCCCGCGCCTGGGTCTCGTGGCCGCGCGGGAATTCCTCCCGCGCTCCGATTTGGCGGGCCAAAATTGGCCGCCCTCGAGCTCGCGCTCATCTCGTGCGCCTACGCGTCGCGTCCGCGCCCGCCTAGCGCGCCTAGCGCCGCAATGCGCGACTATGCCCCTAGTCGCGGCGACGGGCTTCGCCCAGCGACTAGGCGCGCGTAGTCGCCGAGTAGTCGCTAGCCGAACTTTGGCCGGCGCTGCGGGAAGACGGGCCATTGGGCAAAGGAATGCCCAAATCGCAAGCAGGAGAAGAAGGCTGAGGCTCATTTAGCGCAGGCTAATGAGGATGATGAGGCTACTCTCCTGATGGCAATGTTGTGTGCACTGCACGACGTTGAGGCCAAGGAGAAGAGAGATGTGATGGCGGTGGAAAGGCACGTAAGGCTCTGAAGGCTGTCAACCTCGACGAACCGCGCGCCCAAGTCCACCTCGGACGTGTGGGCGGCGAGCAGGAGCAGCGGTGGTACCTGGACTCCGGCGCCGGCAACCACATGACGGGCTCCAAGGAAGCCTTCTCTGAGCTCGACGACAACGTGACCGGCACGGTGAAGTTCAGTGACGGCTCAAGGGTGGCGATCCGAGGGCGCGACACCATTATCTTCAGATGCCAGAACGACAAGCACCGCGCGCTGACGGATGTATATTACATTCCGTAGCTGCGTTCAAGCATTGGCCAGCTGGATGAGCGCGGTAGCGAGGTACTAATCAAGGACGGCGTCCTCAGGATCAGGGACTGGGAGCAGCGGCTTCTTGTCAAGGTGAAGAGGTCCCGGAACCGACTGTACCTGCTCGACTTGAAGGTGGACCAGCCCATCTGCTTGGCAGCACGGCACACCGAGGAGTCGTGGCTGTGGCATGCCTGGTTCGGCTATCTCAGCTTCGACGTGCTCGGTCGGCTGGAGAAGATGGTCCGAGGAAGCTGTGCGACAACTGCCTGGCCGGGAAGCAGAGGCTGCCGTTCCCAAAGGCGGCCAAGTATCGCGTGGCGGACGCTCTCGAGCTCATCCACGGCGATCTCTGCGGGCCAATGACGCCAGCCACAAACGGTGGTCGGCGGTACTTCCTTCTGCTCGTGGATGATTGCAGTCGCTATATGTGGCTGCAACTCCTGACGAGCAAGGACGAGGCGGCGGAGGCGATCAAGAGGTTCCAGGCGCGGGTGGAGGCAGAGTCCGGCAAGAAGCTGCGCGTGCTGCGGACTGATCGCGGCGGTGAATTCACTTCGATGGAGTTCGCTGTGTACCGCGCTAATCAGGGTGTGGTGCGACACCACACCGCGCCGTACTCGCCACACCAGAATGACGTGGTGGAGCGGCGGAACCAGACGGTGGTCGGCATGGCTCGATCCATGATGAAGGCCAAGAGCATGCCGGTAAGGTTCTGGGGTGAGGCGGTGACCACAGCGGTGTTCATCCTCAACCGCGCGTCGACAAAGGCCCTGAAGGGCGTGATGCCGTTCGAAGCTTGGTATGGGCGCAAGCCGAGCGTGTCCTTCCCCCGGACATTCGGCTGCATCGGCCACGTCAGGAAGACGAAGGCAGTCCTCACCAAGCTGGAGGACACGAGCACACCGATGGTGCTCCTAGGCTACGAGGAAGGCACCAAGGCGTACCGGCTCTACGACCCACGCGGAGGCAAGGTGGTTGTCTCGCGCGACGTCGTGTTCGACGAGAAGGCGGCCTGGGACTGGGACAGTCCGGGCACGGGGGAAGCTGGCGGCTTCACCAGCACGTTCGTTGTCGAGCACTTGGTCATCCACGGTGGTGGAGACGCCGGAGAGGAGGTGCCGACCACTCCAGCAACAAAGCCGAGCACTCCTGGGGCGGTGCCGAGCACTCCGGGAGGGGTGCCGAGCACTCCAGGAGTGGTGCCAAGCGGTCCTGCAGTGGTGCCGACCACTCCAGGACGGGTGCCGAACGCTCCCGTAGCGGAGCCGAGAGGTCTTGCAGTGGTGCCGACCACTCCAAGACTGGTGCTGACCTCCAGGAGTGGTGCCGACTGCTCCAGCAGTGAATCCGACCACTCCGGTAGTGGTGCCGAGTGGTCCAGCAGCGATGCCGACCACTCCGGCAGAACAGGGAGGCCATGGACCACCGATCGAGTTCACCTCTCCACCCACCGACATCGACGAGTACATGGACGCTTTCCACGACGGTGAGGAGGTGCGGTTCCGCAGGCTGGACGACATCGTCGGCGGCACAGGGTCCTCAGGCCTGGCGCGTCGGCTGCCCAATGACCCAGAACTGCTTCTCGTCAGTGCAGAGGAACCACCACGTTCGCACTGGCCGAGCACGATGCAAATTGGCGACGAGCGATGCTGGAGGAGATGAAGGGAGGGAGAACAGAGCGCACACAGCACAAGCACCAGCGTTGGCCGGGGCTCTGCAGAGGAGATGGCAAAACTGAACTCTCTTTACTGGGTTGCAGTGGGAAGCTATATATACAACTCTACCCATCTAATCCTAGTACACAGACATGCCAGGTTTCCATGCTGCTACAGTGACTAGATGTGACAGCAGGCCTGACTTTGGCGCCTGCCCCTGCTGTGGCTATAGTGCGGCAGGGGAGCCTTTCGGCGCCTGCCCCTGCCGCGGCTACAGTGCAGCAGCAAGGGATACCTTTCAGCGCCTGCCCCTGCCGCGCGTACAGAGGGAGATATCGTAGGCTCCTCCAAACTCATTGCCTCTGGCTTCATACCAAGCTTATGCTGGCTTCATGTGCTGAAAGAGACCGAGGCCCAGGGAGAGTATCAGGGAGGGCATGTTCGTTGAGGCGCATCTTCATTCTTGGGGTCCCCTAGCGGTGAGCTCAATAGCTCATGCAAACCTGTCTACCGCTTGTTGCCATGGGCAGCAATGCGTCCTGTGGCTCCATGGTTTGTGTTAGTCATGTGCTGCGTTCATGGACACGTTGCACCATGACCACATCCACCAGGAGTGTCCCATGTTGAGGCCCAACACCATGGACACATCCACAAGAGAGGGCGAGGGAGGGAGGGCTCCGCCCTGGCAAATGAGGAGGGGAGGAAGACGACCGGCTTCATGGAGTGCTAGCAAAGATAAAAACTTGGAAGTATGGAGTGCTAGAATACCAACCTGGGTTTGTAGAGGTGGTATGCTAGCAAACCTGTTCATGGATAGTGCATAGTGTTATTGAGGCAATTTTGCCTAATATAATGGTTAGTTGCAAAGCTCTCTTCTCCTAATAAAGGTTGTTAAATACTCCTGCTTTATTCAGTTTGTAAGGCGTCTGCACATGTCAAGATTAGTCCCTACTTTATTTGGTCCTACATTAGGTGAAGTTACCCAGATTGGTGCTGATTGATTCATAAGACAAAGAAAATCATTGATCTGTGAAAGCTTGTACCAAGCTGTAAAAATGATTAATACTCCATATTATTACAATTAATTATTCTCTCTGGTCACAAACATAGACGTCTTGGATAATATTCAGTCAAGTCAATTTTGTGAAACTTCCATAACCTCATAAAATTATTAAAGTTTACACATATATTTCAGTAGAAAATAGCATTCAGAGATATCGAAGATTCTCTGTCCAAAACGCCAAAGTATTTTAAAGTTTTAACTGGAGGGAGTATTATATGTGATGTGAAAGAAGCTAGTTGCCGAAGTTCAGTTTTGGAGGTCCTGCCAGCTGCCTTACCAAATGCTTCCTTTTTTTCATGAAGTAGAGACTAGAGAGTAGAATGTAGTGGCTATTTTATGTTTATTTATGTTAGTTGTGTTTGTACACTGTTACGAATAAAGAGAGACTCAACTGGATGATAATATTGAGGCCCAATAGGGACTATATATAGAGTGTATGGGAGACACAAGAGGGAAACCCTAGACTAGAAGATTACACTAATACCCTTGACTATTATATACCTGAACACAAGTCATCTTTGGCTCAAATTTGGGTGACTATTTTTTCTTATTTACAATGCCACCTAGTTACTCCTAGGTTGGGTTTCTCTAATGATGTGTTTATTGTTAGTACTTATTTGTCATTTTTATTTTTTATTACCTGTTTCTGGTTCATCAGGTTCTGTGTAACCTTTTACTGAGCATCACCATTTAGCTTGACACATATATTTCTTAAGGTTATGTTGTGCCTGCATTGAAAATGTAATTTCCTGGTGAAGGAATCACCCAAGAAATAGCATATTCTTTGTATTATTTGCATTTCAGATTAATTTAAAACTAAAGGATTCATTGTATTTTTTTCATATTTTTTTTGTTGTATATGCTTAAATGGCTAACATTCTTGTGCATTTGATGCAGAGAACCTCTTGTGACTAATATCATGTGGAGAAACGTGTTTATTCAGGTATTGAGGTCCTGCCAGATGTTGCCAAACTTTAAACTGTGACTGGACTACCTTTTGATAAATATTGATGTTTATATGTAACCACAGGCTGTCTTTCAAGTTGCTGTTCTTCTGACTCTCAACTTTAGGGGTCGGGATCTTTTGCATTTGACTCATGACACACTAGATCACTCCAGTAAAGTGAAAAATACACTTATATTCAACACATTTGTCTTGTGTCAGGTAACAAATGTTTGGACAACTGATTTCTCTTTTATTCTTAGATTTTCTTCATTCGAAGCAAGGGATATAATATGTTAGTAACCACTAGCATATGCGTAAACCATTCTAGGAATTGACGAACCTCGAATCCTTGATTTCACATTTCCCAATAGGTGTTTAATGAGTTCAATTCTCGTAAACCAGAAGAACTGAACATCTTTGCTGGAGTTTCAAGAAATCACCTTTTCTTGGCAGTAGTGAGCATAACTGTTGTGATGCAGGTATGAAGGGGTTTTAGATAGTTTTAGCAATAAATTTAGGATTTTAAGGACATAACACTTGCTGGCATGCCTTTTTTATGTCAGGTGATAATTATTGAGTTCCTCGGGAAATTTACATCGACAGTGAGACTCAACTGGAAGCTTTGGCTTGTTTCCGTAGCTATTGCTTTTCTAAGGTAAGATACTTTTTCCACTTTAATAACCTTAAGTTTTTTTTGTAAGGATAAGCTATGCTTTCTTAAATAATTTGATGGAGAGATCTAATAGCCTCCTGAACTTTTGGGCAACATCCATCCGACAAGGCGACCACCAGATATAAAAGATCAGACATCCTATTCCTGAACTTGTACCACCAGTTACATTTTAATTTTGAACCGAGTGTTGCTGGTGGTTTTTGCTTAAGTTGGCAGGTGATGTCCCTATTGTGTATTATTATGATGGGAACAATATGTAGCTATAACCTCGTGTCAGATTCGTTTTAAAACAAGTTTGTGTCAGGAAGGAGGATTGGGGCAAACCTCAGCACCCTGGTCTCTTCCCTTCCTCCTCTGGAGTCCGCTACATCCTTCTCTTTCCTCTTTTCACACAACGGCATTGCTGTCCTGATCCACAGCCACAGCCTCCGGTCATCTAGCTCAGCATTTGCGGCTTCTGGCATTTTAGTTTCATATAATTTTCTATGATTTAAAACAGATGAGATTTAATTTCTGATAGGTGCCCTAGAGGATTGACTGTAGCTTGCTTGTAATTAACTATTGCCTGGTCATGCAGTTGGCCCTTGGCTTTTGTTGGAAAATTCATTCCAGTTCCGAGCACTCAATTGAAGGATCACATCTTAAGGTGTTGGCCTAAAAGTAAGGATCTCACCTACTCCTTTTTTGTTAGATATTGGGACTGTATTGCATCTGCATCAGCTGCAGTTTGCTTCTTATGTTGCTTATTTATTGGAACGGCCATTATTTTATACTTAATAAATATGTAACCTTCGGGCCTCTTAATGTGCAGGTGGTGAGAGTGCAGCACAACAGACTCAGGATGACAGAATAGCAGAACCGCGGGTGTGAAGCTGTTCTTGGGCAACTTTTCGAAATTATCAGATGCTGAAATATAGTGTTGGTGCACATAGATGGTGTTGGCTAATTTGGGGTGCTGATTTCTTCTAACCATGCTACCTTGCTCCCTGGCTATGAATTCTATGGCTGTAGTCAGCAATCGGTACATCCTCGCTGACTTGTGATCTAGAATTTGAAGTCACTGTAAACAAAATATGTTTACTGTAGCCTAACGAAGTTCAGGACCTCCAGTGGTTCATTGCACAAGTTGTGCAATCGGTCTCAGAATCCTTTGGGAAAGTCGCTATAAACAGTTTTTCTTGTCGGCAGGAGTGGAGTGTAGCTCTTTTTCCCTAATATCATTTTCCTTTTAGATGCAATCTAGAACATTGTCAAACACTCTAACTGGTCACTGTTGGGTGTAAAGTCTGATATCTGATTGCTACTGGGATGTGGTCGAAGGATTTGAAATTTGTAATATGAATTGTCTGATTTTGTTAGAGTTGCCTTTGGTTTGCCATAATAGTTGTATTTCAAAAAGTTGACTGGCCATATGTATTGCGATTGTTAAGCCATTTTTATTGGCAGTTTTTGGTACAATTTTTTGCATGATACTATGATTAGCAGTAAGCACAAGGTACGGCCATCCATATTCCCAAGAGGCTATGTTTTCACTTTGGCGCCGGAAATTAAACATAGCTAACTAGTGTAGAACTCCAGTGGAAGTATGATTTGTTTTTAATTTCCCATGCATGTCCTTAGTTTTCATTGACCCGTGCGTGTCCTTAGTTTTCATTGATAGTCGTGGCAACTCCTTATTTTGTATACTCTTGGTATGCTGCAGGTTCTCTGTAAATTCTCACATGTTTTTTTTTCCGAATCAGCTGATGGTATGCAAAATTTCGTTTCTAAAGGGTATCACTTAAAGGTAACCTTTTGCAAAAGTAACAAGGCGAGGCATGCATTGCGTGCAAATTGCCTCTCGATTTGTTTAGAGGGACGTGCCTAAGCATGTCGCGGAGCCAATAAGTAGGGCACATGCTTGGTGGCCATCTATGCTTCGCCCGAGGAAATCATGATGCTTGCTTTCCCTGGACGAGATGCATGGCGGCCTTTCATTAGTGGAACAGTGGACGGAGCTATTAGGATACCGACTTAACAGAGGATCCTATTGCGTCTAACCTTGGTGAACTCACGAAATGGAGTACAGGTACTACAGCTAATTAATAAGATCAATGGGGGCCTTGGATCCCGCAACACACCGGATGCTGTTCTGTTGTGTGTGCCCACCTCTGTACGGACATTCTCGCACCTGGCGAAAGAGCTCTCAACAATGCATGCTGCCACCATCATCATGATTCATGGAGAGCTAGTTGCCGCCTGCAGGTGCTGGAAGAAGATCAACCATGCAGATCGATGCAGGTATGCACGCATCAGGCTGTTGGGACAAAACAACTGACAGAGCCACAAGGGAATGGAGGCAGATCATGTACAACGGCTGCTCTGCAATAGCAAAATATCACATTTTTTTTAGTTTTGAACGTGAATGGAAAGGTTTGTTTTCCGGATGAACGACAAAAAATAGACACTATTGGTGCTCATATAGACACACGCGTGTTCACCCTTGTGGACGCAAATCTTAACCCCGTGAACGCTCATAACAGGAAAAATAAGCTATTAAATTTTAATATTGACAAAAATCATCATAAACATCTCGTTGTTGACCGGTGCGTATACCATTAAGGGTCTCTTTGAAATGTAGGAATGAAAAAAAATGTAGGAACAAGAAAAACATATGTAGGTAGAAAACAAAGGATTGGAAAACATTGGAATTTTATAGGGATGATTTTTTTGGATGATCATAAGAAAAATATAGGAAACGACAGTGCTAATAATATGATTAGATAAATAAATTATGATCTTATCCCTAAAGAAGGAACACAGGTAGTTGAAAAGCAATAGATAAACTTATGGTTGCCTCGATCTATGCGATGGGAAGAAAAATAAAGAGGTCGGATTGGATGTTTTTTCCAGTAGTTTTCTTTTGAAATCACTGGCACGGGAAAGTTTCCTCTTTACTTTTTCTATGGATGAATTCTCCATTCCAAAGGGATGAACAATATACTTTTCTATGGGAACTAGAATCCTCTCTTTTTTCTCTCCAAAAATCCTTCAATCCAAAGGAGCCCAAAAAGAGAACAATTAGTCATATATACTTATATACTAGTGTCTACACTCTACGCTAAGAGGGGACTTTGATGAGGTTCTGCCACTACAAAAACCTAACCTGCAGCCCAGATGAACTGACAGACAAAAACGAAACATGTGAGATGGTGGGAAGTTAATAATAATGGAGGTGTTGGGCCGCATTAAAAAGCGGCGGCTGCAGCATGCTTCCTACGGCTATGCAGCCGCAACTCTTCTTTTTTTAATGAAAGAGACTTCCGCTTCTGCGTCTCGCAACTGTTAATTTATCATCAGCGAACGCCCCTAATACATATACAAGTTCTCCTTAGATTCCTTTTCCGCAAGAGCATATAAATTGCTCGGAACGGTCGTGTTTGCCGCCACTGGCCTGCTACGAATGGTTCAAGGAACATTGCTTGCTGTTTGTTGCTCTGCTCGATCGGTTCAGTGGATATTCATCTGGTCCCAAAAAAAAATGATAAACGCTGCTGTCTGTACTCCACGAGGACAGTCGGACTCTCCTGTTCTCTTGTGTTATGAGTCGGCGTCAGACGACGCATGTATGCATGTAGCTTAGCCGTTCATGGCACTGTGGCAGCTCTACTACTTTCGTCCTATTTATTTAGGCTGATTTAGCTTATAAGTCATGGCTGAAAGTATTGTTGGCTAGTTTAGTGTGAGAGAAAAATATTATTCGTTGGCTGATAAATCATGACTTATAAGCTAAATACGATCAAACGAACGAGCTATTTGTTTAATGCATCAAGTGTGCGCGCTGACAGCCAAAATTTGGAAGAATCGAGCGTGGAAAATACAACCAGCTACTTTAGTTGCACAAGTGCAATATTTACACACGAAGGACAGCAGGAGCTAATGCTTGTTCGCTTGGATGGTTTTTAAAGAAATTTAGATGGTTTGGAGGAATGCTGTAGAAATTTATGAGAGAAAAATATTATTTAAAATAAAAAAAGAAGTGAATCAAATCAGATTTAAGGACACGTCGCCCATTATTCATCGGATTCTGCGTGCATGCATGCAGATGCCGACGTCGGCGCGCACGCGCGAGCTACTATCCTGCCGGCAGGAATTCAGGATCGGCCCCGTACGGCCCGATGCTGCGTCTGCGCGCATTCACTCGCCTCGTCGCTTCCGTCAGGAACCTTTAATAACGCCCGGATGAATTTGAATGCACGAGCACGTTGGCCAGGGTCCGGCCGCCGAGTAGTTGCCCTTGCCCAGTGGTAGATCGCGGAGGCGGTTCTATAGTACGCACGCACACTATAGAGACACGTGCTCGCCTGCACATTCGTCACTGGTACCAGTACCCGTTGGGAAACCCTCGAGTTCCGGTTTTCCAACCGTGACCGTGAATCCGGGACTAAAAGTCTACTTCGGTCCCGTTCATTTGTCTGGAAAAAAAAAACCAAAATATTATAGCGGCTGGTTATATGAGAGAGAAATACTGTAGCGGCTGGTTGATGAACAGTATCCCTGTGAGGAGGAACCAACCGGCTGGTCTGAAAACCAGACCAGCGAACTGGCCCTTTCAGTCCTGGTTGTCAGAACCGAGACTAAATGGCCTCCCAGATATTGCACCAGGGCTACCACCTGTAGTCCCGGTTGGTGTTCTCAACCAGTACTAAAGGTTCTTTTTTTTCCATTTCATTCCTTTTCATTTTATGGTTTCTTTTCAATTCAATTCTTTTTTGTTTCGATTAGATTTTCGTATACGAATTCCACGCTGCTAATATACGTCCACGTATAAGGTTCCGCTCAAGCATTATACATAAATAACACATTAAAATGTATGAAAATACATATATACAAATATTTCAAGAGGTCATACATGCATGGAATATGTACATAATAAAGTCATAAAAACCTTGTACTGGTCATTTCCTTGGGATTTCATTCAACCCTAATTATCTTCAGTCGTATGGCTACTAGGTATTAATTCTTTAGGGTGGTACGTGTCTTTGGGATTTGTGACCTCATTCACAAGAAATCCTGCCAATGTCTCTTGAATTGCTTTGATCTGGTCACATCGCATAACCTTTTGCTTCCTCCATTCATTTTTTTCTCGTAAAGTGGTGTCTGCAGCAAGGATCGGGGAACAACTTATGTGGATACTACGTCTACGAGTTCATGATGGAGTACTCAAGGAGAACAAGTGAAGAGATCCTCGAAGTACATATAAAATATACACAATTTATTTATTACCATTGTATTGATATATACAGTCATATATATTATTTATTACCATTGTATTATTTATATACAGTCATATATATACCGTTGTAAGGGAAGAGTATCAATGTCTTGTTATGTTGGTTATCTAAGAACCTAAACTGATTATTCTTCACTTGAGGTCGCCATCTATCATATGGAGTAATAGTGTCCTTGAATGTGCGATTCGGATCCATGAAACCAACACCAGTTAACCCTTTTCTCTTTAGTTTCAGCATCTCATATTTGCATTTATATAGTACAAAGAAAATATATATATAGTGTGAGGATAACTATATATAGACATCGAACTAGCATGCAAGTTACTTCAATTGTAGAAAGAATCACTTACAGACACCAACAGCTGAGGAGAGATTTGTCGAGAGCATCACGGTTTAATAGTTGGTGTAATTCATTTAACTCAATATGTAAAACGTCATAGCCACTGAAGTAATGCCCTGGTCTAATTTTGACAACAAGCCATGCCTCTTCGTTGTCACACGCTCTTAAGTACTACTTGTTTAACAAGTATATTTGTGTACCCAGTGATGACAAGGACAGGGTTGACAAGACTCCTGCCATACTCATAGGTCCGGTAA